TGTGAATCGGAAGTAATTCATCTTTGCTCCAGTGAGAGGAGGTGTAGTGTGAACAAAAAGTTTCTCGTTTTTCGTGTCTAGGGAAGCGCTGCAAACGCGAAGAAAAGACGTTTAACGGAACCAAAATTTCGCACGGCATAGCGGCAAGGGATCCTTTAGCGATAGGCTTGGGACTTCCAGGCCATTTTAGGCCACTCAGGGTCAGTGTGGGCTCTCAGAAGCCTGCTTAGGATCCTGAAAATCGGCGCTGGTCACCCAAAATAGTTACGTGTACATATGTGGTGCTTTAGGGCTTTCCGAGCCCAAGGTGGGACCCTCAGAAGCCAGTGTGGGCGGCGCCGGCGGCGGGCGCTAAGAGACCAGGCCCAGGGTGAGCAGGGAGCCCTCAAATAGTTAGCAGTGTGGACCCTGGAGGTCTGTGTCGAATCTCTAAGGACCCTATATAGGGACATAAGAAACGTGTGCTGGGACCCTCAGAGGCACACCCGAGTCGTGACCCCTAAACTGCAGGCTTAGGCTCAGCAAAATCTGTCGCCTCAAAAGCTCGGCTGAGCTATCAGAGGCCTAAGGTTCTCAGAAATATTTAAAAGTATCCTCAAAGATCCGTGTGGCCCTTCAGAGGTCTACGCATGTGTAAGGTCCTCAAAGATTCCTTTATGGACCCTCAGAGAATATGAACACCAGTGGGACTCTCAGAGGCCGGTTTGGGCCCTCTGAAGGCTTCTTAGAGCTCAGTGGAGCTCCTTCGGAGCCTGTGTGAAAAGCAAGCAGTCATGAGCCCTGTGGCACTTGAACGGTACTTGAGTCTGTCGCAGACATTTGACGAGAGTTGAGAAAGGCCCGAAGATTCAGTGTCACGCTTTGAACGCAAATTTTGTATCAGCACTTCAAAACTTATGAAAATCAGCTATAAAATGTAATAAAAAACCAACGAAGAACATGAAATGAATCACAGTATTGACACTTCTGGAGTCGGTGTTTTGACGATGTTGGCGACTGCGACTCCGACTCTGGCTTGAACGAGTCTGACCTCACAGGCATTCTCAGAAAGGTACCCCCATTTTTTCCCGACTCCAAAATCTCATCGGATCTGTATCGATCTCAGGGGGTGCCCGGTCTGAGGTTGGGGGGGGGGCAAGCTGCCCCGCTTGCCCCCCCCCCCCGTGGCGACGCTAATGCTGCGGTCAATATAACCTTGCTTTGACTGTATGTAGATATTCCTAAAAAGCACTATTCCTCGCTGACATTGTGCAGTAGATATGCTTTTTTGCGACTGTTGTAATCATGGGTCTGCAATGTTGCTGCAGCTCACTGTCAATATCTTGCCTTTCACAGTTTAATCGGACATCATAAGCCGAAATCATCTGTGGCACCCGTCCACGGCACAATGGTGAGTTATCGACTCCGTCCCCGGGCCAGTTTTGGAAATAACACAGTATTTCGCCTCAATAACGCTACCCTTTCCGGTCGCTGGCGGGTCCGAAAATTTAGTTATCGTTTACACAGTTATACTCCGGAACCTGGAATGTCGTGTAATCCGGTGCTGTTATTGTATTTGTGCGTGCTAACCCGCTAACTTTGCACTGTTCCCGTTGTGAGCCGGCGTGGCACTGCACACAAGTGGCCGAACGCACTCGGTGGCGGGGCGCCCGCCGTTGCGCGGCCGCCCCGTACCGGTGGCCAGCGCAGCCGCCGGGAGCCGACAGCGAGGCGCTGTCGCCCAAGACGGAGGGTCCGGACGCCGGCGGTGCCACCGTGTCGCTGAGCGACGCCGTGCTGGTGGGCAAGGAGAGCGCCCTGGTGCTGGGCGACCAGCACGCGCGGCGGATCGTGCGCGGCCCGGCCGCCGGCGCCGTGCGGGTGGGTCTGCTGCGGCTGGACGGCGGCCTGGGTGGCCTGGTCGAGCACACGACGCGGCTGCTGAACGCGCTCGGCCGGTGGCGGCTGTCGGCCGGCGGCCGGTCACCGCCGCGCGTGGTGGCCGTCTCACTGGGCGGCAACGCGCTGACCAGCTGGGCCGAGCCGCACCAGGTGGCCGCCGACCGCGACCCGGCGACGGTGGCCGCTGCGCTGGCCGACATTCTGCGCCGGCTGGTGGCCTTCCTGTGGCTGTTCGGCGCGCCGTCGGCGACGGTGGTGCTGCTGTCGGTGGTGCCGCGCGCCCACCTGTCGGACGCCGACCTGGCCGTGTTCCGGCGGCTCTCGGACGTTCAGCGCGCCGTGGCCCGCGAGATGGCGCCGCGCTGCGTGCTGCTCGACGTGGAGCGGCTGCTGGCCGCCGAGCTGGCGGCGCCGGGCAGCTGGCGCCGCCGACTGGCCGTCCACAGCACGCCGCTCGGCTCCGAGACGCCCGCGCTGCGGCCGGCCGCCGTCGACGTGTGGTCGGTCGAACCGCTGCCGCGCCACTTCCCGCGGCTGGGCCCGCTCAGCTTCGCCGCCAACGGCGTCCACCTGCACACGCTTCACTACGGCACGATCCGGGCGGCCGTGGCCGAGGAGGCCACCGTGGCGGCGCTGCTGGACCGGCCGCTGCCGCAGCTGGCTATCGTCCTGGCGCCGCCCGCCGCCGCCGAGCCCAAGCCGCCGCCCAGTCCGCAGTCGTGCGCGCACCGCCAGTGGGCATGGCTGGATCAGGATCAGGATATGGAGGATCTGGAGCCGGCGGAGTAGCGATTCTCCAGGACCGTCATCTGGCGCTGAGTAACAGCAGTCCTCACGGCCCAGAGGTGCAGCTCAGACGCCGTGACTCGTCGGCCGGCGCACACCACACCGCCCGGCGGTCCTGGCGCCGCCGGCCAGCGACTGCGGCGGTCCTGGCGCACACCGCGCGGCCCGCGGCGGTCCTGGCGCACACCGCCCGACCCGCGGCGGTCCTGGCGCACACCGCGCGGCCAGCGGCGGTCCGGGCGCACACGGCGCGGCCCGCGGCGGTCCTGGCGCACACCGCGCGGCCCGCGGCGGTCCTGGCGCACACCGCACCGCGCGGCCAGCGGTGGGCCGCTCCGGGCGCCGCCGGCCAGCGACTGCGGCGGTCCTGGCGCACACCGCACCGCGCGGCCCGCGGCGCTCCGGGCGCCGCCGGCCAGCGACTGCGCGGCGTCCAGCGGCGCCGGCCTCCGTCCATCGTGATACCCGAGTGTTGGACGGTTTTCTCTGAGTGTCTTTTCATATGACCGACCCAGATCTCCTTTTGGGCTGTGAAGCGCAGACGTACGCGTTCCCATCAAACCGAAATGAATCGCGACACACTCGGTGAGCTGGGAAATTGTTCGAGCAGTCGTTCTGCCGCCTGCCGTACCTTGTGGCTTAGGCTGTGACGCGCGTTCCGTCTAGCCGGTCCTGTGGCCCCGCGCCGCGGGCCAGTGGCTGAGGCGGCCGCCGGCGCGGCTCACACGTGGGACGTCTGCCCCGCCCTGCGGCTCTGCTCGGGTCACCCGGTGGTTCCTGCTTAGGTGTAAAGTTAGCACTACCGTTCGGCACGCTGTGGATACAGGTGCATTGCGCGTAGGTCGAATTTGTACAGAGTGGGGGTGAGCACTCAATGTGCTGTGCGTTGAACAGCGAATCAACACCGGCGGTCTGATGCTTGTCAAGAAGGGAACGTAACAAAAGCGATTGCAATCGCAAATTTGTCGTGCGCGATTTGTGTATATATGTTTTTTTAATGTCTGCTAGACAAGCTCGCATATGTGTTTGATGAGCCGGAGGAGTCTGTCAAATGCATTTTTGTTTCGTCTTTGAACTTTTTTCTTGTTCTTGGCTATCCGGATCTGCCTTTGATGGACAAAGGCAGAGATCCGGATCGTGAATGGGTACCAGAAAAATGAACGGGTTATCTCAGTTTTCCAACGCAGCATTTTTAACGGCCTGTCAATTGGTGTATTGGCCTGTATTGGTGTGTTGGCCTGCGCACGTGTATTGGTATCTCCTGAGTTACATGGGATCGCTGAAGTACGTGAACGGGCTGTACCTCGCCGGCCGGGAGATGATGCCGCCCCGTTGACATTTTTCATGGGTATCTTCCATGACCTGAGATGACCTCGGGGGCACAATGGGTGTCAACTGTCACGGATGCAAGTTTCCGATTCTGTGAGTCATGTCTTCCTGTAACCCGATGTGTTAGTGTTTAGAACGAGGTCTCAGGTCAACCGGTGACCTCTGAGGTCAGGTCAAATGACCTAAGGCACGGGCTCGGTTTTTGGTAAATAACTTCGCCAAAAATGGCCGTAGAGCCGCGATTTTGGCATCATCGTGCTCACCTAGCTCAGGCGCATCGAGTGATATACTTTTTGTTCGGGTGAGGTCAATTAACGGCATTGACCTCGTGACAAGGTCAGGTCAGAGCTCTCAGGTCACGAAGCTATTCGAGTAAGGTCATGTTGCATATCATTCGATTCGGCAGGTCTTTCTGAGTCCATTTGTGGCTTTCCCGATTAGCTAGTTCGATTTGATCGGGAGTTATTGAAGAAAAGTTTATGACCCTTGTGACGTCACAGATGACGTCACGCGAGGGCAATAATGCAAATGTTAAGCATTAGACCATTGGACCTTACAAGGAGTGCATGAAATCACGATTCTATATGCTTGAAGCAATTTCCATATTTCCCCATTGGGTTTGGTTTGACGTATAAGTTCCCTGTATTTGAGGATTTTTAGGATGTCATCTTGTTCTCCACTCAATTCTGCGTAGGATGCCGGGTTCTGTGTCTACATGGCTTGAACGTAACGGATGTAGCAGCCGCAAACGTAAATCGAGGTCCCGAATTCCCTATTCCCCAACACAGGCGGCGGCCGCTTGGTCTGCGCAACATGGCGGCACCGTTGGACGCCATCTGGCGGCCGATGCGCTTGTTCAGTGCCCAACAACAACAAGTTTGTAACTTACATGGCCGGGCGGTTGCGTTGGGGTGGAGTGGCAGTGCAGTTTTATTTTTTAGGAAATTTTTAAGAAACCGCTGTTTTTTTTGTGCCATTCTAACATATAATCATGAAATTGCCTGTCTGCCGAGTTGTTGATGTTGTAGGATGATACCTAATGGATTCGAATCTTTTCTAGGTCTCTTCATGTAGGTAGTCTGATACAAGGCTATATAAACCGTCTGATACAAAAGGTTCCTCAGTTTCACAAACCCTGAAATGTCCATATACCGTTCTCTATATACCGTGGAAATGTCTGTAACCGGGTAGCCGTGAAGCGGGTGTCACAATTGTTTTTGCAACAACCAATGAGAGGCTTTATACCCAGAGATGCTTTCCAAAACAAACCAAGCCAAATTGGAATAGCCGCTCAGACTTATTATATACTTTGACCACCTAATCAAACCTGACATAACCTTACCTACAAGGTTAATGATGTTTGACTTACCATTTCTTGCTATCTGTCCATGTGAGTAACATCTTTCAAAAAGAATACCAAAGTCAGGCTAGGTAAGGTTTGGTTACATTTCTTGTTAAATAATTTCATGACATGTAAGTACCTGTGTCATATCTGGATTTAGTAGGATGTTAAAAAATGGAAGAATGTGTAAAATTTGGATGCTGGTGAAAACAGGGCACCAGAGGGCATATTAAGGCTGAAACAGACTCTTTCGGCACTCAGGAAATTGCATGCGAGAGCCTATTCAAATACATTATAATTCTTATCGCATCAATGATCAATCGCTCGCAGGTGTGTGCGATTGATGTGAGCGTGCTTCCCTGTATTTGAATAGGCTCTCGCATGCGATTTCCTGACTGCTGAAAGAGTCTGTTTCAGGCATTAGTCACATGACATTTGGAGCTTCGCCCCCTCCGTGGGCCTTCTACATGCTAAACGTCACTTGTTAATTTCACGAACCTTGATCAAATCGCCCCAGGCACCCTGTTTTCACTGTCGTCCTAAGATTTACCTTTGAAAAGTAAGTTGGTCCTAAAGTAAATATTAACCCAACCTAAAACCTTCAACCTAGAACCTAACCTACAGTGCCTCTCCCTGGCTGCTAAAAACAAACATGACACCCTCCTTAAAACTATCCAAAACAGTTGCTGCATCAACATCGGCATGAACTTTTTATGAATGATAGCCATTGTTTTCGTTTCAGTCTCATCATGGCGTCATTACCTCCTAGAAAAGGTTCAACACCATCAAAAGGTGCCAGACAAAGCAGCCTGTCTTCTCTGGAAGTCCTTCTGCAACTGGGGTTTTCTCAAAACAGAGCGTGAGTCAGTCTTTTTTGGTTAGGATATATTTCATTCTGTCTCTGTCTTCAATTGATTCCATGTCTACTCAGTACTCTGACTTCTTCATGGCTCGAGCCTACTTTCAACTGAGAAGAAAGTTTGAACAGTTTGAATTGGAACACTTCACCATTTACATCAGACACCCTGGTTACTGGCCTGCATTTGGTATAAACCATAAAAAGAATGGGTCTTAAGCATTACCTGTTTCTTCCCTCTTTAACCCTAGCCGGAGGCATTGGTAGCACCATGTAGCACATACCTATGTCACAAGGTGTGCAAATCGGTCTCTGCTAAAAAGTCTAGAAAAGTCCCCATCCCATTTTTCTGTACCATCCTATTATCTGGATCCTCTGTTTTCAAGATACTTGCGAAGCAAAGTGCTTATCTGAGCCCCAGACTGGAAAAATACATGTTATGCTGGATATTTCTGGCATAGTGGTAGGATTGTGCCGAAAATTTCAGCTCTCGTCTGGGTCCGGCGTAACTTCGCATGCGCCGAGTTCAGCGCATTGCGGCCGCCTAATTTTTCGGTGAACAGCAGTCTTTTTTTTTTTTTGCACGTTGGTCAATCTAGCAGCAGATTCGCCCAGCGGGTGGATCTGGAGAGGGCTCGGGTTGAGACGTCCCCGCCCAGGTCGTCGCGTGCTCCGACTCGCGAGCCGCCCTAAGTCTCTTCAGCGGAGGAGCGTCCCGCCCAGGTCTCCACCCTCGGCGCGGAGATAGGCATGGAAGACCTTGTTGAACATCGCTGGGCGTCGAAGTAATCCTGCAGTGAGTTCCTGGCTCCTGCCCACTACCGGATTGAGAAAAATGAGAGCGCGGACGACCTGGCGAATCAAGCGGCCGCCCTGCCCTCGGCCGCCCGCTCGCTGACCCAGGCGGTTCATTATGCGGCCTCGCGTCAATGGCGCAACAACTGGTCAGAGTCACTATTCAACTTTCAGGCCAGGCATCGGGAGCGCGCTGCAGCTCCCTCCCCGGAGAGGAATGGGAGGCCGCCGTCTCGGTGTACCTGATGATGGCGGGCCACTGGGGCCGCTCTCTCCAGTACGTGCACCAGGTCGGCCGTCTCCCCTCCGCGGCGTGCCAGCAGTGTCTGGAGAAGCATGCCCCGCGGCGCTTTGCGCCGTGTGCCGAGAAGAGGCTGATGTCCTGGAGCACGTGCTGCTCCGCTGCCAGGCCTTTGTGTGTGCCGGGCAGTCTCGAACACACCGCTGCGCCGATTATTGTGGCCCCGGAGCTTCCTGACCCGGCCTTGTTTCACGGCACGACGCTACAGGACGCTAAGAGTATTGTGGAATCGGGTTTCCATGAAAACATCAACTAATTCCGACTCTCAACCCCGGAACACTCTGGTTGATATAGCCTTGGTCGGTAGATGTATACATGTGGTTATGTGAAAGTGGCTTATTTTTTGGCGTAGATAGACACTCAACTTCGGGCGCAAATCATTCAGGAATTTCAGCGCGAAATCGCTCACGGATGTCCGGCGTAGTGTGTGAATGTTTCCAGTCTGGCCTGAGCCTGACCTTAGGTATTCGAAAATGTTTATTGGAGAGCCACGGAGTAGCTTGATGGCACGGGAGTCTGGGACACCGTCTCCGGAATGCGTCGGTCAGCTCCTCTTGCGGAGAGTTTAGGAGGCATAGGAGGACCTCGTATGTATCTTGCTGCGCCGAGTGGTGGAAACAGGCGTTACGCCGGCCCATGGCGTTCTTGAGGTCGTGCAGCGATTCAGACTTGTGACGTCCACTCCAAAGCGCCTTGACGGCGGCGCCCAGCTCCTGTACCGTTTCACCGTGCGGCGGCTCACCGCTGCAGCTCGTGCAGTCCAGGTGGACAAGGAACTCGCTGAGGCCGGGAGTGCTGTTGACACACTGCACCACGGCGTTCATGTAGCAAATATTGCCAAGGCTTTTGAGGCCGGTGAGCGCTGGCGTCGCGGGTCTGCTGGAAGGAGCGGAGCGGCCGGGATTCTGAACGTCAGCGCGTTGGCTGCACGCCCGTGGCTGAGTCTCGCGGCCGAACACGAGCGGCGCCCCGCGAGTTCGGAGGTCGGCGCGCCCACCGGCTCGTTACCCGGTTCCACGATAAGTGGAGGCGAGTGGGAGTGTTCTGGCCAAGACAGTATAAGAAACAAGTAGATCGGATGTTTTGAGTAAACCGCAAGTCACAATTCTGACGCAGCTGTGCCATTTTTCAAGACCCACGTGACTTTTGTAAAAAGTTGTATTTTGCAATGTTTTGAGTCTGACCTAACCGAAATTGGAACAAGTTTAACCCTCGCCCGTATAGGGGGGGGGGGGGGGTCGAACGGACCCCCTCCCTCGGTTTTTTCGCGAATATCTCGTGTAAAAATCGGCCGATCGCGACGAAACTCTCAGTACCCTCGAGTTGATCAATTTTACACCTACTCTGAAAATTTTATGACCCTGACCCAAATGACCTTTGACCTGTGACCAGGGCTGCGGAGTCGGAGTCGGAGTCGGAGTCGGTCGGAGTCGACAGTTGTGACCGGAGTCGGAGTCGGAGTCGGAGTCGATTTTAGAAACCCGAGCCGGAGTCGGAGTCGGAGTCACCGAAAATCTGTCGACTCCGCAGCCCTGCTAGGTCTGCGGAGTCGGAGTCGGGAGTTGGAGTCGGTCGGAGTCGACAATTCTGCCCGGAGTCGGAGTCGGAGTCGGAGCTGGTTTTTGAAAGCCGAAGTCGGAGTCGGAGTCGGAGTCGCCGAAAATCCATCGACTCCGCAGCCCTGCCTGTGACCTACTTTTCGAGACCATGTTTGGCTGGAATCGCGATTCGGCGTATGTTGGCTCGCATTAGCCGCGCTTTTGCAGTCTTCGTGGTTTCAAGCGTTCAAACATCTGATATGATGTTACCCCATGCATTAGGGTGGGTGTCAAGGTCACCTGGAGGTCAGGTCAGGTCATTGACCTTTGATGACCTCGGTTCACTTTTTCGAGTTTTACATGTTTCTAGGCCAGTTTTTGGAGCTGAATTCGAATTTAGCAACCATATGAACATTTACGAAGTTGTTTTGGTGCCTTCGTAACATGTTACGAAGCTGTCAGAGGCTGTTGACACCTACTACGAATACCCGGCAGGACCCCTACTGGATGACCTGACCTGATCTGACCCGACCTGACCTAAATGCATTAAGACATATGTGATCAAAACTAACATGATATTCGTGATCAGCACCCCGAAAAACCCCATAGCAGCCACACTTTACAACTTTCTTCCTTCTAACAGGTCCCGATTTTCCCGACGTTTGGGTCATTGACCTGACCTGGAAGGTCAACCAATGACATAGGTCCTTAAAATTGGGTATCATCGGCTTCCTTTCGTCACGGGCAACACGCTCGTTTTTTCCGCAAAGCTCTAGCTCGATCAGGGGCGAACTTCCCCCCCCCCCCTATATGTTCCAGGCTGAAGAAAAAACACCAATACGGGCGAGGGTTAAGATAAATTATACCTAAGTGCTGTTTAAAGCAGCATTTGGGTAATTGTGTTTTACAATATTTATAAACTGCTCAAAGCAAGCCACGTGATGCTACCAAATTATGTGCTCAGACAACATTTTTCAACTTCGATTTTGAGCACTTTGTACCTTCTTTGAGGCCAAATGCTTGGCGTTTTGAGACACAACATGAAACACTGAAAGTAGGTAATGATACAAAAATCGACTCACTTGCATTTCCAGACTAGGATATCCTGGCTCAAACTGGCCAGTTTGTGTGTAAATTGTATGGTGAAAGGAAAACTTCACGCCCGGCTGACTTCATTGTTTGACTACCAAGTCGCGTCGGACGGGGACCGGTTCTGGCCTTCCTCCACAGCTGGCTCCGCCATTTGGCAGCGGCACATGGTGTGTCGCACCGCGACCCTGCTCGGGGCGCCGTTTTTGTTCATGGGACTGCTAGGGGGCTAATCACCCGTGTAGCAGACACACGTCGTTCATGTCAATCAACGCAGTGACGGGGAGCCACTCCAAATTCCTAATCACGTCGGACACATGATCATACTTCGTCTGTCGGTCTGTCCGTCTGTCTGTCTGTCCGTCTGTCCGTCTGTCCGTCTGTCCGTCTGTCCGTCTGTCTGTCTGTCTGTCTGTCTGTCTGTCTGTCTGTCTGTCTGTCTGTCTGTCTGTCTGTCTGTCTGTCTGTCTGTCTGTCTGTCTGTCTGTCTGTCTGTCTGTCTGTCTGTCTGTCTGTCTGTCTGTCTGTCTGTCTGTCTGTCTGTCTGTCTGTCTGTCTGTCTGTCTGTCTGTCTGTCTGTCTGTCTGTCTGTCTGTCTGTCTGTCTGTCTGTCGGTCGGTCTGTCGGTCTGTCGGTCTGTCGGTCTGTCGGTCTGTCGGTCTGTCGGTCTGTCGGTCTGTCGGTCTGTCGGTCTGTCGGTCTGTCGGTCTGTCGGTCTGTCGGTCTGTCGGTCTGTCGGTCTGTCGGTCTGTCGGTCTGTCGGTCTGTCGGTCTGTCGGTCTGTCGGTCTGTCGGTCTGTCGGTCTGTCGGTCTGTCGGTCTGTCGGTCTGTCGGTCTGTCGGTCTGTCGGTCTGTCGGTCTGTCGGTCTGTCGGTCTGTCGGTCTGTCGGTCTGTCGGTCTGTCGGTCTGTCGGTCTGTCGGTCTGTCGGTCTGTCGGTCTGTCGGTCTGTCGGTCTGTCGGTCTGTCGGTCTGTCGGTCTGTCGGTCTGTCGGTCTGTCGGTCTGTCGGTCTGTCGGTCTGTCGGTCTGTCGGTCTGTCGGTCTGTCGGTCTGTCGGTCTGTCGGTCTGTCGGTCTGTCGGTCTGTCGGTCTGTCGGTCTGTCGGTCTGTCGGTCTGTCGGTCTGTCGGTCTGTCGGTCTGTCGGTCTGTCGGTCTGTCGGTCTGTCGGTCTGTCGGTCTGTCGGTCTGTCGGTCTGTCGGTCTGTCGGTCTGTCGGTCTGTCGGTCTGTCGGTCTGTCGGTCTGTCGGTCTGTCGGTCTGTCTGTCTGTCTGTCTGTCTGTCTGTCTGTCTGTCTGTCTGTCTGTCTGTCTGTCTGTCGGTCTGTCGGTCTGTCGGTCTGTCGGTCTGTCTGTCTGTCTGTCTGTCCGTCTGTCGGTCGGTCTGTCGGTCCGTCCGTCCGTCCGTCCGTCCGTCCGTCCGGTCGGTCGGTCGGTCTGTCTGTCGGTCTGTCGGTCTGTCTGTCGGTCTGTTGGTCGGTCGGTCCGCGCTCAGCGCCGCCCCTGTAATCGGCAGTGAGAAGGCGCTGGCCGCCACCGGCGACCGGGGCGTCCAGCTGGCCTCCGACTGGCTGCTGGCTCACGTCAACGACCCGCACATCGACGCCGCCGAGCCGCGCGACTTCTACCTCTACCTGTGCCCGACGGGCGCGCTGCTCCAACAGCTGACGCACTTCCGGCGCCGCGCGCTGGCGCAGTGCGGCCGCAACGGCGCGCACGCCCTCCTGCCGCACGTCACCCTGGCCGCGCCGTTCAAGGTAGGGGCGAGCTCGTGGGGCGGGGACGGGGCGCGCCACTGGGCGTGACCGGTGGGTGGTCCCCCAGTGGGTGCCGTGTGGTCCTCCAGTGGGTGCCGTGTGGTCCCCCAGTGGGTGCCGTGTGGTCCTCCAGTGTCTGACAAACTGACTGGCGGGCCCGGCTCCCTTGTGATGTCCCTGTAACACCCGCCGGCTGCCCCGTAACACCCCTGTAACACCCGGCCGACTCCCCTGTGATGTCCTGGCGGCTGGGTGCCCCTAACGGTCTTTTGACTCGCCTGTGATATATCTGTGATTCCCCCGTGGCTCCTCCGTAACACCCTCGTGGCGTGCATGTGCTGTGCCTCCCTCTGACGCCCCTGTGACTCCCCTGTGACGCCCCTGTGACTCCCCTGTGCCGCCAGGTGCCGCACCACCTGGTGACGGCCGCGGCGGAGGCGCTCGACCAGGTTGTCGCCTGTCACCTGGCGCAGCTGCCCGACCGCTGGCCACTCGAGCGATACGTCTCACAAAACTACATGGGCCTCTTCCTAAACGACGGCCAGGCGGACGTGCTGAAAAAGATGACGGCCCAGCTGGCGCGGGAGCTCGACAGGCACAGTCAGTACCAGGGTGGCTGGCGCGGGAGCTCGGCAGGCACAGTCAGTACCAGGGTGGGGTCAGGTGCAGTACGTTTTTAGGGGGGGGGGGGTCCACATCGGCGACCGTCCTGTCTAATCACTATATTATTTTACATGGTGTCCCCACTACCACAAACATCAAAAACGTAGAAGGTAGGCATTTAAAGGGACTATCCCACCTTCTAAAATGTTGTTAAAACCGGTTAAATTGTGCCCGACTTTATAGATTGGATGACCAGGAACACGGTTCTGGCATTTATTTTTCATTAAACATCTTAGGCTTCCCATATTCCAAACACAAACTTTCAAATATGTGACGTCACAGCCCAAGATTACCTCCTTCTCCAGGCCACATTACTGTCATAAAGCTGATTCTTTTTACTCTGTAGGCACCACAACAAAGTTCAGACCAAGTTTTAAGCGATTTTTCAACGAACAAACCCATTTAAATCAGAATGACTAAACGAGGTGACGTCACACTAACGGTCGCTCCATGTTGAAGATAGGGCCTTGTACAAGGCCCATTTTCAAATGAAGGGAACGAATTTCTTCAACACCAAGAGGCCGCGGGGGTTGCAACCTAGATAGATAGTGGTTTCTGAACCTCGCCGCAAACTTGGCTATCTCAACTCAAACCCCATGTTAAAGGTGGGATAGTCCCTTTAACCCGGCAGTTGCTGGGGTATTTCGCCACCCACCGTTTGCTGGGGGGGGGGGGCGTTAAACGCCCCCAGCCGATAACTCGAGAACCAATAGGCGCAGCGAAACGCACGAGACGGCAAACGAAAGAACGCGACGAGACGCTTCAGATGAGTACTTTAAAATTGAATTTTGAGGTCACAGGTCGGGTCAAGGTCAGGTCAAACACCCGAAATCGGGCTTTCAGTAGCATGGACTTCAGGACTTCGCAATGGGCGCCTCTCGTCACAAACTCTGTCGAAACGGTTCACAATCCATCATATAAGGCCTACAAGAGTGTCAGCTCCATGTAGGGGTCAGTCAAGCATAGGTCAGGGTCAAGGTCAGGTCAACCGGGTAGGCACATATACCCGAAAATCAAAACTGATATTCGCAGCCTGTGACACATGTTTTATAGGTAATTTGGGGCGTGAAACACGATGGTGACATTCATTTTATCATATGTGTACGTGTTTGGCTCAAAAAGTTCAATTTAAGAAATGCATGTATCATGGTCGTGAAGTAGTCACGAAAAATTGCCAAGATTCAGTTCAAGATTATGGAAAATGCGGAACGATAATCAATAATCGAAGATAGCCATTTGATTGCTCATGGTATTGGCAGTCTAATGGCGTTTACGGCATGTCTGTATGTCTATTCTGTGATTTTATATGATTTTTTGAACATATGCCGTTTTTGGTCGAAAACTCGGAAATCTTGACGTCACTAAAACCTCGATATCTCAAAATTTTTACGACCGATTTTTTTGAAACTTTGTCACAATAAACTTCAATCAATTCCCTACAGGTACCCAAAATTTGGCGCGCCTGCGGCGCGCCGTTTTTATGCTATGGCCCGGCGAAAAAAGTGGGGGGCGTTTAACGCCCCCCCCCCCAGCAACTCGCGGGTTAAAGGGACCTTCCCACCTTAAAAAAGTTAATTAAATGGCATGAAAGTGATGTCGCACGGTTCAGAAAGAGCGAAAACGAATAACTACCAAATTTCATCGAAAACTAAGCACCGGTTTTCAAGATGTAAGACTTTTTCTTTTGTTTACTTTTTGGGATCTCCGCTGTTTCTATCGACTTTATTTGACAATACGGCACTTGTTGCGCGCAAAGCAGCATGTACCACCGCGTGCTACCAAACGTTTTAGTAAAAGATTTAAAATTGTTAGATCTGCGTTGACGTCACACATTCATAGGGGGCATTCTAATGCATTAGTCCCTCTGAATCCAAGTGCTGCAACTCTGAATTTAGATATTTTCGATTTGAGGCGTTTCTCGATGTTGTGAGTGCTCAAACCGGTAAGTGCAAGCCAGGGGTACCATTTTTGCTATCTCAACTCAAAACTAATGTTAAGGTGGGATGGTCACTTTAACCTTTTCCCTGCTGAAGGTTGCCTGTTTTGACAAATGGTTCCTGCCAGAACTGCCCAGTTGCGTGCACTCCACGGCTCAACACTGTCTGCCTGGGTCGGTGTGCTGACACGGCCCCGCCTCTGACACTGTGCGTGACACGCCCCGCCCCGCCTCTGACACTGTGTGCTGACACGGCCCCGCCTCTGACACTGTGTGCTGACACGGACCCGCCTCTGACACTGTGTGCTGACACGGCCCCGCCTCTGACACTGTGTGCTGACACGGCCCCGCCTCTGATACTGTGTGCTGACACGGCCCCGCCTCTGACACTGTGTGCTGACACGGCCCCGCCTCTGACACTGTGCGCTGACACGGCCCCGCCTCTGACACTGTGTGCTGACACGGCCCCGCCTCTGACACTGTGCTGACACGGCCCCGCCTCTGACACTGTGTGCTGACACGGCCCCGCCTCTGACACTGTGTGCTGACACGGCCCCGCCTCTGACACTGTGTGCTGACACGGCCCCGCCTCTGACACTGTGTGCTGACACGCCCCCCCCCCCGCCTCTGACACTGTGTGCTGACACGGCCCCGCCTCTGACACTGTGTGCTGACACGGCCCCGCCTCTGACACTGTGTGCTGACACGGCCCCGCCTCTGACACTGTGTGCTGACACGGCCCCGCCTCTGACACTGTGTGCTGACACGCCCCCCGCCTCTGACACTGTGTGCTGACACGGCCCCGCCTCTGACACTGTGTGCTGACACGGCCCCGCCTCTGACACTGTGTGCTGACACGCCCCCCCCCCGCCTCTGACACTGTGTGCTGACACGCCCCCCGCCTCTGACACTGTGTGCTGACACGGCCCCGCCTCTGACACTGTGTGCTGACACGGCCCCGCCTCTGACACTGTGTGCTGACACGCCCCCCCCGCCTCTGACACTGTGTGCTGACACGGCGCCGGCCGTCCGTGCTCACCAGACGTCCAGCTGGAGCCTCAGACCAAGTCGCTCCACCTGACGATGGCCTACCAGTTTCCGGCGGCGCACTTTGCCCAGCTGGAGGAGCTCTCCAAGGCCGTCGACCCAGAGGCCAGCAGCGTGTGGGAGCTGCGGCTGTACTCGCGGGACCCGCGCCTCCACGGCCGAGAGGTGAGAGGGCCCGAGACAGGGAGGGGAGAGGACCGGAAACAGGGAAGGGTGTTCTGCAGACATGTGCATGGATCCAATAAAACGAATCTGGGATCTGATCCCACGGATCCTGATCTCGGATCCGTCTAGATCATAGATCCAGCTCTTCAATTTATCAAGAGATCAGTAGGGATCATAGATCCAAGTCTAATTGTTTGCTTGAGATCCAGTGAGATCATAGATCCTCATTTACTTTTTGTCAACTCAGAAATCCCATAAAATCACTCATTGCAACTCACAAACGCTCTGTTTTAGAGATTTCATGCGCTTACACGTCATATGTACATAGTTTTGTGGCATTTATAGACATATAAGCACTTGGAAACCTGGTTTCAAATGTGGTGCCTGGTGGGATCCACTCAGATCATAGATCCATGTTGTTTTATCGTCAGATCCTATGAGATCATAGATCTAGATTAATTTTTCACGACGGATCCGGTGGGATCATAGATCCTAATATGCAGTTTGCTTCGGGATCCACTGAGATCATAGATCCATCACTCGGATCCATACACATGTCTGGTGCTCTGAGACAGGGAGGTGAGAGCTCTGAGACAGGGATGGGTGCTTTGAGACAGGGATGGGTGCTTTGAGACAAAGAGGGGTGCTTTGAGACAGGGAGGGGTGCTTTGAGACAAAGAGGGGTGCTTTGAGACAAAGAGGGGTGCTTTGAGACAGGGAGGGGTGCTTTGAGACAGGGAGGCGAGAGACGGGAGACAGGGAGGGGGCGCAAAATGACCTAAGTAGTCGGCGCGCCCTAAAGCCCCAATTAACAAACAACAAAGGAGACAGGGAGGTGGGAGCCCCGAGACAGGGAGGTGAGAGGGCTCGAGTCAGGGAGGCTGGCACACAAGTATACAATATGCATTGGTACCCTGTATGCCTCTGAGTTTCGTGCCGTATGAAGCAGGTACATAAGGTGCAGTGTGCTCCTCCCGTGTCGTACCCAGGTACGCCGGGACGGGTGCTGTACCCTCCCTCCCGTGTCTGTCGTACCCAGGTGCACCGGGTGTTGTACGCCCCTCCCCCTCCGGTGTCTGTCGTACCCAGGTACACCGGGTGTTGTACGCGCACGTGCCGCGCGAGTCTGACGAGCTGGAGCTGGTGGTGGGCGACTACGTGTACGTGTCGCGCGACTCTGTGCAGAGCTCGCCGGACGGCTGGGTGGCGGCCACCTCGTGGCTGACGGGTCAGAGCGGACACCTGCCGCTCAACTACATCCAGCCCACGGCCGAGTCCGACTCCTGGACTCTGCACAGGTCAGTGGCGTGGGGGGACAGGTCAGTGGCCGGGGCAGGTCACAGGTCACAGGTCAGTGACCGTGGGGGGGAGGGGGCAGGTCAGTGCTACCTTGTCACCCAGCTACAGCGGCTCACAGCGTACAGGGTGTCCCATAAGTTCGTTCTCACATTTTGTTTGCATGTAAAACAGAGTACATTGCGTTTTGATATATTTATGACCCCTCAATGTGTTCCCCAGTTAATAGGCAAACACATGAACACATGCTGCGGCATGCCAACCGGCATGTTTGGCTGCATAGCAGGCTTAAAGCTAACCCAGACTGACTTGACATGCACCGTGAGCTCCTCGAGGCTGGAACAGCGCTACGCTTCGACGAGCCTAAATTTCAGCATAACCAACAATTTTTTATGAAATTTTGATCCGATGAGGTGCCTGACATATGGTCTTGCCACAAACGCCTGTCACAGTCTCCTTGCACCGCTTTTAAGCTTTGCTTGACCTGTGCACTGATGCACTGTCTTGCCTGAAGATGGGCCTACGACCTCTCGGATGCTATTTTCTCCTCCATAAATGTGTTCATACTCGCGGTTCGAGTTCAGCTTGAGGGCTGAAACTCCTCCTAGATTTTCTTGGAAAAGTATTATGCTTCCCCAAACTGTTTCTGGAGTACCAATCGCAACCTGGTCAGCGTCTGGACGCCTATAAACCCACAATACCGTGACCTTGGCCTTTCGCATAGGAACATAACGGGACGAAACGGAGGCCTCCTCCTTCGCCCTTATGGGGTTGTTTTCGGGTTTGGACGGGTGTTTCATCTCGAACGTGGACTAGTTAGTCCAGATGACCTGGTTGATGTCCTCAGCCCTTTAGTTTTTTTTAGCCTCAGGCATAACGAAACTCATGTTTGGCCATTTTAAGACGTTTTTGACTGTTTTGAGCCCTCCGGTAAGCAAAGCTTAAGTCACCTTGAGTTATGTACCCCGTAAGAACAATTTTAGACAGCTGGTAATCCATCCTGAAAAGTCTGCTTACCAACTTTCTAACCCTTTGACCTTTTTGATGGCCACTTTGGCGCCACACAGTTTTAGCCACATGGCTCACTCCTGAGAGCTGACAAAAAAAGACGATAAACTTGCAATGATTGACTCCCGACAAATCATCGGTGTCACTTGCTGACTGTGCGTCCAGTTAGCGATGGTCATTGTCTACAGACTGGTAGGCCTCAATCACCCTCAATTGTCGCGAATGGTCACGTGCTGACTTAATACCGAGACCTACCCGTATTGGAGACCTCTATGTTGCGGCGTTAGCCGTCTGTGTAGGAAACGGGCTCTCTAGCAAAAACTATTTTGTCTACAGAAATTAGTTACTGTGGAGCATATTTCTACCAGCCATGGCAACCACGTAAGCTCAGTAACGAACCAATTTCAGCGTGCCTTTAAGCAAGAGAGCCTAAAAACGTAAAATTTAGGTGAGAACGAACTTATGGGACACCCTGTACAGGTCCCCTGTGACACCCTGTGACCGCGGCAGGTGCCGCTTTGTGACGCTGTGTGTTACTGCTGTGTGTGACTGCTGTGTCATTGGTCTGTGTGACTGTTGTCTGACTGCTGTGTGTGACTAGTCTGTGTGACGCTCTGTGTCCGTTGCAGGGCGGTGACGCTCTGTGTCCGTTGCAGGGCGGTGCCGCTGTCTGTGACGGCGCTGGCTGAGGAGGGGGACCGGCCGGCGCACGCCAGCAGCCAGGAGCGGCTGCGCCAGTCGCTGTCCTCGCTGGGCTCGCAGTCGTCCTTGCAGGAGGGCGCCGCCGCCGCCGACCGGCCGCGCTCCGTCTACGACAACGTGCTGGTCACCGACGACCCGCCGGTGCGACCGGCCGCTCCCGCCGGCGGCGCGCCGGTGAGCCCGCCCGCCCGGCCCGGCCGGGCCGCCGTGTGTTGGTGGGGCCGTACCGTCTGTCTCTGTGTGTTGGTGGTCCGTACCGTCTGTCTATGTGTGTTTGTGGTCCGTACCGTCTGTCTCTGTTCGTTGGTGGGACCGCACTGTCTCTGTGTGTTGGTTGGACCGTACCGTCTGTCTCTGTGTGTTGGTTGGACCGTACCGTCTGTCTCTGTGTGACAGTTGGTTGGACCGTACCGCCTGTCTCTGTGTGCTGGTTGGTCCGGACCGTCTGTCTATGTGTTTTGGTGGGACCGTACCGTCTGTCTCTGTGTGTTGGACCGTACCGTCTATCTATGTGTGTAGGTGGGGCCGCACTGTCTCTGTGTGTTGGTGGGGCCGCACTGTCTCTGTGTGTTGGTGGGGTATTACCGTCTCTCTGTGTTTGTAGTCCCTACCGTCTGTCTCTGTTCGTTGGTGGGACCACAGTGTATATAAATACAGTGGCGGCAAATGCGCTTGGTCACGTGACCAAATCTGCACGTGCGGTTGTGGCGAGGGCACTTCCCGAAACTCTGGTGCCAACGGCCTCGCGGCGCCCATAGAGAATACATGGGACCTTTTCTTTTCAGACCTATCGTGTCTAAACCAAGCCATTTAGTGCAAGGATACGACTGGTTTGATATTCAGTCGTCTTTTGGCTATAAGTCGGCATAAGAAACGTATTTTTATCGGCAAAATTCGCTAAGTACCAGGTGGTTTTCCGATACCCTGCACGCCTCCTAAACCCCGGCGGCCGACCGGAGGAGTCAGTAGCGCTCCACTCACGAGTCACGACTTTTGGCGATAGCTCAAAACACCTTACAGCTAGAGGGCTGCTATTTGGCACACCTTATCTTTGCTTCCATGCGCATCTTTGGAAACCAATTGCATTTCCGTCTCAGGTCAGCTCACTGACTTATGACGCCACACGTGAACCTCTGCAATAGTCCCAAAATACCGAAACTTCGCAATGCCCTCGGTGCCAGAGGAGCTGTCACAGCGAGATGATACTTACAGGACCTAGTATCCTATAAAGTCTCAAAACTTGTATATCTCGGATTTCTCCTAGAGGTCACATGAGGTCAGGCCGATTGCGTGACGTCACCATTACAAGTCAATGGGGAAAATATGGAAACTGTAATTTTGACGCCGAGAATGATCTAAACCTAGCTCAAGCACATGAAATCGCAATTTCATGCACTTCTTGCAATGTCCAATCCTGCACTTTTGCATCTTTAACCTAGCGTGACGTCATTTATGACGTCACAAAGGTCACAAGTTTTTTCGCCAATAACTCCTGATAAAATTGAGCTGGCAAGTCGGAAAAGCCGCCAATGGACTCGGGAAGAACTACCGAATCGAATGATATACGATATAACCACCTCCGACCAACTTCGTGCCCTGAGTGCCTCTGACCTGACTTTGACCCGATGTGAACACCTTATGTTGACCCCACCCAAACAAAAGTGTACCATTTGACGCGCCGGAGCATGACAAACATGATGGTACTAAAATCGCGACTCTGTGCCGTTTTTCGGCAAAGTTATTTATCAAAACCCGAAATCGTATTTTGGCCCTCGAGGCACTTGACCTGACCCTCAGAGGCCATCAGTTGACCTAAGACTTTTAAACCGTGCATCAATCGCTGCGTCCCCGGTCCCGTAACGGCACACATGCTTGTTTTTCCCGCGAGGCTAGCTCAATTAGGGCGAGGGAGTCGTACCCGCCCACTCTCGCGGCCGGGGCGTAGGTATGTAAAAAAACTAATAAGTCTGGTGATGATTGATGCAAGATTCTTACAGATAATGGTTGATGAAGGTAGGGTATAAGTTATTAAAGATAAGTGAAACAAATTTGCAGCCCTCAGTAGCCTTGAATCATGCATTAAGAGTTATAGAAGAACAACTGTAAGCTGCAGGCTCAGCTCTTCAGTTTCTACCTATGCCTGCAAACACAATAAAATCAATGGAAGAGTAATAATAGTTTAATTGTATTTTATTTTTCAATGGTAACTATGACACCGATGATTCAATATTATTTGCACGGTATCATTAACCACCACAGTCTTAATATCTAGCATCTAAAATAATGCAGTAAAATAAGCTGCGCCACATCTGTCGACAAAATCTGGTGCCAACTCAAGGTCAAACGGAAAATGTGGTCACGTGACCAATGTCCGGCAGCTGGGTGGGACCGCACTGTCTCTGTGTGTTGGTTGGACCGTACCGTCTGTCTCTGTGTGTTGGTTGGACCGTACCGTCTGTCTCTGTGTGACAGTTGGTTGGACCGTACCGCCTGTCTCTGTGTGCTGGTTGGTCCGGACCGTCTGTCTATGTGTTTTGGTGGGACCGTACCGTCTGTCTCTGTGTGTTGGACCGTACCGTCTATCTATGTGTGTAGGTGGGGCCGCACTGTCTCTGTGTGTTGGTGGGGCCGCACTGTCTCTGTGTGTTGGTGGGGTATTACCGTCTCTCTGTGTTTGTAGTCCGTACCGTCTGTCTCTGTTCGTTGGTGGGACCGCACTGTCTCCGTGTGTTTGTGGTCCGTACCGTCTATGTGTGTTGGTGGTCCGTACCGTCTGTCTCTGTGTGTTGGTGGGGTATTACCGTCTCTCTGTGTTTGTAGTCCCTACCGTCTGTCTTTGTTCGTTGGTGGGACCGCACTGTCTCTGTGTGTTGGTGGTCCGTACCGTCTGTCTCTGTTCGTTGGTGGGACCGCACCGTCTCTGTGTGTTTGTAGTCCGTACCGTCTGTCTCTGTGTGTTGGTGGGACCGTACCGTCTCTGTGGTGACTGGGCTGTACAGACGCTGCCGCCCACTCGGCTCAGCGTCCGCCCTGTGCCGGCAGGCGGTGCGCCCCGCGCCGGCAGCCGAGCCGGCCGGGCCGCGCCAGCTGTGGGTGGCCAGGCACGGCGAGCGGGTCGACTTCACCTACGGACAGTGGATCCCGTTCTGCTTCGACGAGACGGGTGAGCCGCGCGCCAGCTAGATCCCTGAACCCGGAACTGGGGTGGAAAGGGTTGGCTGGGTGGCCGGCATCACGCGTGGGGTGCGGGCGGTATGTATAGTCTCTTGAAAGTATCACTTCATGGGCTGCTTTATGAAACTATTCCATTCAGTTTGAGGACCCCAGCTGTGAGGTCATGACCTGTATCATAAAAAGTACGCTCTAACGCGATCCTACGCCAGCGATAGAAGAAAAACTGCTATATGAAAAGCCTTCAGAAAGAGCGAAAATAAATATCGATCAAATTTCAACGCAAAATATTTCTTTATTTCTTTATTTCTTTATTTCAATTCAACACCAACGGGCAGCATACCCAGTAACAGGTGCAGTCATTTCATAAAACTCAATAAATAGACATACACTAGGGTGGCACTTAATTTCGACTTTTTTAATTTCGACCGGGACGGGTAGCCATATTGTTCTACCCCACGAAAAAAAATGATCTGTATGAAATTTTATCAAAAAATATTTATACTTAGAGGTAGCTCAATGGGGTCATACTTGGTACATATTGAGAAAACGTATATTGTGAACGGGGATTCAGATGTGTGTCGCGCCATTCCAAGCATTGTCATATTTGAGCTGTAACACGTTTAAATGAATGATAGATGCCTTCCTATTTGTTTCATAACCACAGTGTTTCTCGCCGCAAACGCGCTGTGACGCAATGCGTAAAAGATAAGCTGTGTTTTGCTAAGCCATTTCAGAACATTTTTCGCTAGCCAGGCTCCAATTGTCAGGCCGCAGCAAACGCTGTTCTAGAATCCCTCGATGAGTGAGAGTTGAAGTATTGAGTGAAAGCGCTCACTTTTGACACAAGTGCATCGAACACCGGCCTCAATGCAGGAGCCTGCACGATCATCAAGCAGCGGCTCGAGCAGGACTTGCTCCATCTGGCTTGCCACGGCATTTACGAGTTTGTTCTATAAAGACATTTTCAGCCTGCCTCGGCCCGTCCAGCGGCCCGGACGTTGTTTTGTTTAAGCGCTTCCATAAAGAGTGGGCGGCTAGATGGAACGAAGCCATAAACCTTCCAAAACTGTGACATGTCCCACCTCCACAACCCGCGTGATGTTCTTGCACAGTTCGGTCGTATATCCTTGACCACCAGCACTCACGCGACAACCGTGAGATTCTGGAGCTGGCCATCACTGTCCTCGATGGTGCTCCGAAACGAGGTATGAAGATCGCTCGCCCCGATATGCTCCTTGTGTGCTGGTTGACCAATGCCATTTACGCTATGAAGTTTTACCTCTTCCGAGCACAATCCCGGCTCACTACGTCTAAAAAGAAGAGCCTCCAGCAAATCGTGACCTTTGTGATAACAACGTAGTTTTCGGCTCGATTCAATGCACCGCTTCTGGCGTCTGCACCAGTGCAAGATCTCGACCTCCTCAAGTCCCTTCTGGAGTACGAATTGGTGTCCGAACTGGTGTCCAAGGCGACAGCCATTGCCTTCAGCCGTCATCTCTGGTATCTAAATGAGAGGCTGGTCGCCCTCAACTTCTAATGAAGGAGACTACGATTGCTGCTACTAAACGTGAGATGGCTGCATCGTTACGAGAGGAGGAGAGGGCCGAGTGCCCCTCCCCCCCCCGTCGAGCCCACGTTGAACTTACTATAGCTTCAGTCTCTAGCAAGTCCACGGCAGACTTCGTCATATCACAACTGGCTTCACAAGCTTCTTCAGCATCCTCGGTATGGACACCGACTTCCTCTTGAAGGAGCTGATTCTTTGGGAGGTCAAGCCATTCTACAACGCCGCCATGCGCTACATGACGTCTCTTCACGCCTCTACGACTTCGCGGAACGAGGCATTTTGTTGATGGCCAGGAAATCGATCTAACCCCCACGAAGGATAAAGACTAACAGCAGCTCCTCTTGTAGGTCGTCGAGGAGCAAAGAAGCAAGCATTCTGTCATACGCCAGGCGATCGTACCTTCTAAGTAGGCAAGACTAGCCGACGAATAACGTGTACTTACAAGTGTTGGCTGATTACGGATGATACAGCTTTCTCTTTTCATGGAGTTATGCAGTAAGTTATGCATACCTTCAAAAGAATTATGTACCTCATATGTACCCATATATCTGAGCTTTAGGTGCTGAAACGTTTCGGTTAAGTCTTGGCAACGTCCAATGTCATTGTGAACATCAGAAATACACGTGGAAATTAAAATTTCGGCAAAGTTGTTTTTTTCACAAAAATGTGAACTTTGACCTGGTTGAGCTACCTCTAAATAAACATATTTTCCAAAAATATTTTACACGCAACGTTTTCTCGGGTGGTAGAACAGATTGGCTGCCCGTCCCGTTGAAAATTCTCAAAACGAAATTTTAGCCCCGTTTTAGTGCCACCCTAACATACACATAACACAACACAGAAAATAATACAACCGCAAACACAGTAAAATCTGATGACTGATACCACCTTGAAAGACACGGTTACGAGAATTCAGTCATCTGTCAGACTCCCATCACATGCCGTTTCACTCTAGTTCTGAATTCCATTGCGCCGCTCTCCCATACATCCACATCTCTGTTTACATCAAGAAAAGCGTTGCATGCCTTTGGTATGCGGTTGAAGGCGCAAGAACGAACCGTTTCAACTCTTGCAAATGACACAGCGAACAAGGCCTGAGTGCGTAGTTGGCGGGAGGGTACAGCGATGGGGAACTTCTCTACCAAAAACTGCGAGTCTATCCGGTGCCTGTGGACCTTTCTAAGGTCAACCAAGGTCAATGACCTCGCATGTTCAGTATTCACACGCCTTCATCGGTAACTACGCATTCATCGGTTTTTGAGATATTAGACCTTTATTTTTGTTTATTTTTATTTTTGCCTTCACTGTTCCTATGACGTCATTTTGGTATCTTAGCCTTCGCCCTGGCAGGACATTTTTCATGACGCGGCCTGGCAGGTGGACGTCGATTCGACCCCCTGGCGTTTCGAAACTGAGCGTCGTAGCGCTTCGCAACAAAGACCAGTCGATTGCTCTCAAGGTATATTTTTTACCGGTCGATTGGTGGTATATTTTTTACACTAGGTCAATATTTGACCCAATTGTGACAGGTCAGAGGTCAAATTTTGGGAAACTTGTAAAAATTACTTAGCCAATATTGGCGAACCTATGAAAGATAGCGACATGAAACTTTCACGACTGTGTTTCTCCACGAATTAACAACAAAATAATGCATAGTTAATTGCATTTCAGTCATTACTGGCGTGACGTATTCCCCGGGAACACGAGAGGTCACCCCCTCCCCCCCCCGCCGGCGAGGACGGTCGCCAATATCGAGAGCTGACCTAGGTTGACATTGTAAAGGTCAAGAAACAGTTTTGAAGGCGTTTATGTGAAAATTGAGCCACATATTCGGATTCAGGGTCTCAAGAAATCCCACTAGACACAGCTCATATCACGGAGGTCAGCGTGTGAATACTGAACATGCGAGGTCATTGACCTTGGTTGACCTTAGAAAGGTCAATATACAGTGCAAAAAATTTATGTCCGGTCAAATTCTGACAAATCACTCGGAATAGTTTCGTTCTTGTCGATGAGATCACATCCAGTTACGTGGTATGTACGATTTTGTCAAAAACGGTCTGAGGTTGTACGGCCCTCCAGGTATTAAGTGGTTGGCTGCCAACATCACAATAATCGATCTGCATTGATTACGAGCGAGCGAGCGCAGCGAGCGAAGCGAGTCTTTTCAATATAACGGAAAAATCTCAGTATGAGCGGCCCGGCCCGGCCCGGCCCGGCCTGTAACGCTTTTGAGAGGCCTATATCTCAGCAACCGCTGGACCGATTGGCCTGCGGTCTTTTTTGCTGGGTAGCCCCATGCCTTCTACCCCGTAATTGACTACTTTTGATACATCTCAGTGACCGTCGTGGCATGTGCCACGTGAAAAGTCAAGGGTGTTCAAGCTGTTTTGCAAAAGTAGTGATTTTGAGTGGCCCATATCTCAGCAGCCGCTTGGGCGATTGACTTGCGGTAATTTTTTGTAGGGTAGCAGCATCCCTTCTACCAAAAATAGGATACTCTCGATGCATGTGGGTCACCCCCAGTGCACGTGCAAAATACAACAATAAGAGGTGTCAAATTTGTTCCCATTTTAATAACTCGGTAACTACTGGGGCGATTTCGCTGAAACTTGGCATACAGGGAGGCACCCACCAGGCAATGCATTCCCATGTGTTGCGGTTAGGGTGCTACTGCACGTGCGCACGTGCAGGGGGCGCTCCCAGATCTCGAGAACGGCTGGGCCGATTGCGCTCAAATCGACACCTTTTTTTAAACCCCACATTTGTTCTCCCGTGAAGCTCAGACAAGTTGTTTAGAAACCTTCAAAAAGGTACAGTCACTCGATTTTTCTCAAGTTTGTCTGTCTTGGCAGATCAAGCAATGCCAGAGCAAGCTTACGAACACACAAATTTGATCAGGATCGGACGATTGGACACTTCTAAAAGGAGATCCTTCGTGCTTCCCGGAAATTCACCGGAGAACAGATGTGGGGTTTAAAAAAGGTGTCGAAATTTGGTACACGGTTGGGGACTAATTAGTAGGGTGCCGTGCAAAAGTCAGTTTGGACCCCGTTTGCACGTGCGCACGTGCAGGATGCCGCTTCCAGATCTCAGGAACGGCTGGGCCGATTGCGTTCAAATTTGGCACACCGCTAGCGACCGGTTAGAAGTGTGCTTTGCACAAGCCCGTTGGAAGTACCCTCTCGCCCTTCCGCACGTGCAGGGCTCATTATCTCGCTCGCTCGTTCTTCGCCCAAAAGGCGTTTTACTGGTGAATACGTTTAATGGCTGTTGAAAACCACTGCCGAAATGTTTGCACGAGCCCTCTTCTCATTTCTATTGAGTCCACGGTGACTATAAATAATTGAGTCATTTTACAGGAGTGTCTCTGTCATTTAAAGTTATTACACCAAAAGCACATAGGCTAACCAACCACTCTTTTGCTGGAGGGCCGTACCTATTATGACGTCATAGTTCAGTGACCTGACATGATCCGATTTTTTTCCAAATCTTGGGTAAAGGATACCCCAGAAGGCAGAAGCTATTGAAAATTTCAGCACGATCCGACTGATAGTTCGGCGCGCATAGCGAAAAATCTCGGGGGGGGGGTCGCATCGCCCCCCCCCCCGCCAGGGCGAGGGTTAAAAGTGCGACAGATGTTGCGCGCAAGGCAGTATATACTACCCCGGCAACAATTGTCTCTTACTAATGCTTTGGTATAAGATTTAAAAATCGCTAGTTCTGCTCTGACGTCACAAAGTCTAAGGGGGCATTCAATTCCATAATCCATTAGCCCTTAGAATCCGAGAACTGCAGATTTTGAAATAAAATGTCTTCGAATTAAAGCATTTCTCGATGTTGTGAGTGCACAAACCGGTAATTGCAAACCAGGGATCCCAATTTGGCTATCTGCACAGCACTTTTCTGCCAATTAATTAACTTTTTAAGGTGGGAGGGTCCCGTTAAAGTTGCAACAATTTTCGTCATTGTCATCATCCGCCGATGTAATCAAGCGCCCCCTTGCCCGAACAACTCTCGCCTTGCCTGGCTGTTCAGTTTCTCACCACCCTCTGGAGGGCTGCTCGGTGAGTGAAAACTGCAGATCCGGCTGGGCGCCCTGCTGAGGCGATGAGCGATCAGTAGGGCGGCCGCGCGCCGGGTCTCACGCGCCCCACCGTCCCACGCCGCAGGCAAGTACGTGCAGAAGGACCTGAACATGCCGGTGACGCTGCAGGCGCGCCCGGACGGCCCCAAGGGGTTCGCCAAGGACTCGCCGATTACACAGGTCGGCCGCGTCCAGGCGCGACTCACCGGTCAGTACCAGTGGCGACTGGGTGTGTGTGTGGGGGGGGGGGGGGCGCGATTCACCGGTCAGTACCAGCGAACGCGCCACTGGGTGCCTGGGTGTGTGTGTGTGTGGGGGGGGGGCACACCGGTCAGTACCAGCGCCCGTGCGCCCGCGCGACTGGGTGTGTGTGTGGGGGGGGGGGGCGACTCACCGGTCAGTACCCGCGACTGGGTGTGTGTGTGGGGGGGGGGGGGGGGGGCGCGACTCACCGGTCAGTACCCGCGACTGGGTGTGTGTGTGGGGGGGGGGGGGGGGCGGCACACTGGCCAGTACCAGCGCCCGCGCGCCTGGGTGTGTGTGTGGGGGGGGGGGGGCACTCTGGCCAGTGGTAGGCTACACTGGTTTGTTTACGACGTGGCCTTGAAGCGTTGTTTTGAAGGAAGCTGACGCGTCAGTCACCGATTAACCCCTTGAGTACGCCTTCCAATGTAGTTCGAAAAAAGGTCGGTCCTCCCGTTACGGGGCTGGTACCGGCTGTACGTACGGGCCGTACTGCCGGCGCCATTGCTGTCCTGTTCGGTCCGTCGTGCCGATCTGTCATGCTCGGTCCGTAATGTCAGCTCCGTACTCTTGTATACGGTCCGTAAGGTCGGATATGTACCGGGCCCTTTATTGTTTGTAATATCGGCCTCTCGCTGTCCTATACGGTCCGTCAGTCCGTAATGTCCCCTCCGTACGGCCCGTCGGTCCGTAATGTCCGGCGCTGTTCCAGGCGAGGCGATGAAGCGCCACAATGTGAAGATCCACCACGTCTTCTGTTCGCCGAGCCTGCGCTGCGCCGAGACGGCCTACTTCATCCTGGCCGGTGAGTGGTGGGCGCGCTCCATTCTATTTTACTGGGTAAGTGGCGCGGCGGCCTTCCTGTATGGTAGCTGGTGAGCGGTGCGGGGCCTGCTGTACTCTGGCCGCTGAGTGGCGGTGTACTGCAGCCAACAGCTCCGTCCGATTCCCGGGAAGTGTAGCTCTGAGTTGTGTCAGTCTGATGGGACAGCGATGGTCCTGTGTCGTGGCTCCCACCATCAGCCTTGTGCCTGCGGTAACCAGATGTGCTCCCTGCCTGTGACAGTACGTGTGCCTGTGTGTCTTGTGCCTGCCCGTGATCAACTGTCTGTCGGTTGTGTGTCTGTATGTCTGTCTGTCGTGTGTGTCTGTGTGCGTCTGTTGCGGCTGACTGTGTCGGACTGACTGTCTGTGGCCAGGTCTGGGCCTGCAGCAGCAGCTGCCGCCGTCTGACTGTGTCTGACTGTCTGCGGCCAGGTCTGGGCCTGCAGCAGCAGCTGCCGCCGTCTGACTGTGTCTGACTTTCTGTGGCCAGGTCTGGGCCTGCAGCAGCAGCTGCCGCCGTCTGACTGTGTCTGACTGTCTGCGGCCAGGTCTGGGCCTGCAGCAGCAGCTGCCGCCGTCTGACTGTGTCTGACTTTCTGTGGCCAGGTCGGGGCCTGCAGCAGCAGCTGCCGCCGTCTGACTGTGTCTGACTGTCTGCGGCCAGGTCTGGGCCTGCAGCAGCAGCTGCCGCTGTCTGACTGTGACTGACTGTGTCTGTCTGACTGTCTGTGACCATGTCTGGGCTGCAGCAGCAGCTGCCGCCGTCTGACTGTGTCTGACTGTCTGTGGCCAGGTCTGAGCCTGCAGCAGCAGCTGCCGCTGTCTGACTGTGTCTGACTGACTGTCTGTGGCCAGGTCTGGGCCTGCAGCAGCAGCTGCCGCTGCGCATGGAGCCCGGCCTGTTCGAGTGGCTGGTGTGGTACGCCGACGGGCTGCCGTCGTTCCTCAGCCCAGAGGAGCTGCGCAGCTGGGGCTTCAACGTGGACACGGCCTACCGACCGCTGGTCAGCGTGCACGAGCTGCGCGAGCGCTCCGAGAGCTGCGAACAGTACTACGCGCGCAGCCACTTCGTCACGCAGGGCGTGCTGCGCTCCACCGGTGAGTTGGGAGGCGGGGGGGGGGGGGGACTGGCGCTACTACGGGCGCTGGGCATCGCAGGGAGGGCGGCTGGTGCCCGTACAGCGCCCGTCTGACCGTCCTGTGTGTGTCCGTACGGTGTCCGTCTGACCGCCCTGTGTCTCCGTGCGGTGTGCCCGTCTAACCGTCCTGTGTGCCCGTCTGACCGCCCTGTGTGTCCGTACGGTGTGCCTGTGTGCCCGTACGGTGTGCCCGTCTGACGGCTCTCTGTGTCCCGTACGGTGTGCCCGTCTGACGGCTCTCTGTCCGCCCCCGACCAGGCAGCGGTAACGTACTCCTGGTGGGCCACGCGGCCACGCTCGACTGCTGCACGCGCCAGCAGACGGGCCACCAGGCGCGCTCAGCGGCCGAGCTGCGCTCCTTCCTGGGTGCGTACCGCCGCCCTGCACCGCGCTGTACCGCCGCCGTGTACCGCCGCGCTGTACCGCGCTGTACCGTCCTGTACCGTCCTGTACCGCCGCTTTGTACCGCGCTGTATGTACCGTCCTGTACCGCCGCCCTGTACCACCCTGCACCGTCCTGTACCGTCCTGTACCGCCGCGCTGTACCGTCCTGTACCGCTGCCCTGTACCGCCCTGTACCGCGCTGTACCGTCCTGTACCGCGCTATACCGCCGCCCTATACCGTCCTGTACCGCCGCCCTGTACCACCCTGCACCGTCCTGTACCGTCCTGTACCGCCGCGCTGTACCGTCCTGTACCGCTGCCCTGTACCGCCCTGTACCGCGCTGTACCGTCCTGTACCGCGCTATACCGCCGCGCTGTACCGTCCTGTACCGTCCTGTACCGTGGCGCCGGGTGTCTGTGTACTGATGGGTTCAGACCGCGGCACCGCGCGCCGCAGTATCTGACTGATACCTGAAGGCGGGCCCGCACCGCCTGCGCTCGCTGTGGGCGTCTGACCGCCGCCCGAGGTGTGACCCGTGACCCGGCTGTTGCAGGTAAAATCCCCTACTGCAGTATCGTGGCCATGGAGGAGCGCAGCGGCGGCCACTGGCACCTCAAGGAGGCCCCGTTCCCGCCGCTGACGCACTCGCACAACCAGCGCTTCGACATATCCATACTCAAGTAGGCGGGCTGGCGGGGCCCCCAGCGCCGGCAGCTGTCCGCCGCCGTGGGTGGTCCGTTGGCACCCCGGGCCTCGCCGGGTGGCCGGCCGCCCTTCTGTCTACAGTGGACCGAGGACAGCTGCCTCTCCTCGGACACTGTGGCTCCGTGCGCCGCCGTCCGGCGCCGTGCGCCGCCGTCTGTAGTGGCCAGCCGACCGGCGCTACGCGCGCCACATCTCCCCGGCGTGCGCTGACCGCGCGGCTCGTGTGCTCTCGCTGGACGCGTGCTATGTATCTGGGGGAGTGGTCGGGTGGTGCCGCTCACAATCAGCCGCCGCTCCGCTCCGGTCCGGCCGCCGGGACAGAGTTCCCGCTCTCCGGTCCGGCCGCCGGGACAGGGTCCCCGCTCTCCGGTCCGGCCGCCGAGACAGAGTCCCCGCTCTCCGGTCCGGCCGCCGGTGCTCGGCGCCGGGACAGAGTCCCCGCTGCCCGGTCCCGGTGCGTCAGTCGGGCGGAGAAGAAGCCTGATCGCCTGCCCAGCAAATGTGGCCCGCGGGCGGGATCAATACTTCCCATGAGTGGAATTGTGCTTACTAGTCCTTGTGCTATTTATTGTTTGAGTCTAAATTCCATTTCACGAGCGTTTCGTATGAGACTAGACGTGGTGCGCAGAATGGGCGCCGCGACTTTGATCATGCTATGTTCCTATAGGATCACTGAACTCCAGGCTCCTCAGACTAACTTACGGTGGAGCCGTTGTCTGTTTTATTTTCTTTGTGTTGGGGCGGACCGCCCGGCGTTCCCGCCGCTCAGTTCGCCGGCTGCCGGCTGCCGGCGCGGCCGGGGGGACCGTGAACGGCCTCAGTCTGTGGACAGGTGGTGACGCTCCGGTCGCATATTGTGACTGTCGGCCGTGGGCGTCTGCGCGTGATGGCAGCTCCGTCTCCCAGCCTGTGCTCGGCGCTGCGTCAGCGTGCTGCCACCGTGGCGGCCGAGGCCGGCAGCCCGTCGTCGGAGCTCGGTCGGCCGCCGGTCCGGGCTCTCCACCGGCGCCCCGGTGGCGCTGGCTGTTTTGGAGGCCGTCTTGTTGTTCCGCCGTGGCCTGGTGCGCGGCGCCGTCCCTGGCTCGGCCCACTGCCGTCGGGCTGTGCCGGATGGGACTGAGGTCTGGGCGGTTTTCTACTTGCCGACGGAGTTGTGTGCGTGTGTGTGCGAGTATTTATAGGCGAGCGGTGGCCGGCAATGCGTCCGTTATTTTTGCCCAGGATGCGTCCGTGACTGTGAGCGGTGTTTGTCCATCATGTTGTTGATGTTAATCTGTTAATGCTGATGTTAAATAATTACTTTTTTACGTACCTGTGCTTTTGATAGCTGCCAGGGCGGGCAGTGTGGAGAGTGGCGGGCCAGTCAAAGTCTGGTTCACGGGGCTGCTCGGAGTGCGCCCGCTGCTCAGTCTGACACCCCGCCCGCTGTCCCCTCCCCCCCCCCCCCCCATCAACCACGCGGCGGACCGGGTCACCGACGCTTCGAGGCATCTCCGTGTCTGGCCGGCGACATTTGAATGCGCCAACTAAAGTGGGCTGTTTTTAAGACAAAATTGCGGCTCACGAATGTTATAAGTTTGACCTATTGAAACGTTTTAACGCTTTGACTCATGCTGCTGGAAACATTTTTATTCTGAGATAAAGATATTTTTCCATGCTTCTAAATATTGACCGATATTTTGGAATGTTTCCACATGAGCACATATGTTGCAAATTTGACTGTTATGCAGGTGTATTAACTGTAGTTGCGTGGAGGGGGCGAGTTGTGGTCACCGGCCGCGCGCATCCCAAAATATGCCCTGGCTGCTCGAAGTTCAGTTGACTGTCTATCGAGTGGTTATGGAGGGCGGCCACGCCTGGTCGGTCTGGAACACACCTGTTGGCAGACTGTGCTGGAGGTCGGTGTGCGGACCGCTCTGTGCCGGCGGTATCGACCGCGCCGTGTGCCTGTAAAGGACTGTACCCCATTCACCGGCCGTGTTACGGCGTGTGACGATCGCCCGTCGGCGGGAGGGGGAGGGGGGGCGGTAGTCATGGTGTCCGACACCACAGCGGCGCTGACGGGACCGTGACGGCCGGCGGACAGCGGCGCTGCCGGGACGGTGACGGGCGGCGGACAGCGGCGCTGACGAGGGATCGGTGTCCCCAGTCGGTGATCACTGATCGGTGTCCCAGTCGGTGATCACTGATCGGTGTGTCCCAGTCGGCGGCCGGTGGTGTCCGCGGTCGGCGGTCGGTGTGTGCGGTCGGCGGTCGGTGTGTGCGGCCGGTGCCTGCGCCCGCGGCGCCCCGCTGTGGCCCACCGGCCCACCTAGCCGCCTCCCGTCTCTGCATGGGCTGCGTGGACAGCAGGGAGTCGGTGCCGGTCGGCGACCGCGCAGCGGACGCCGGCGCCCACCGCGGCAAACTGGCCATCACGGACGCGCTGCAAGGTAACCGGCCTGTCGTCCGATCCCTCTGATCCATCCTCGGCACCACAATTACCTACTTATCAACACCTCAAGCCCCTGTTGCGGGCTGACGGTCACCTTCACCGACTCTAGTGACGCTCCGTATGGAGCAGGCTCCTGTGCGGCGGGCTGACGTTTTGCCCAAGTGGCCCGTCCCCTGAGACGGGCTCAGCCTTGGCGGCGCACCAGGATGGCCGCTAAAACTAACGTCTCTCCATAATGCTTATCATCCTTCCGGAACCCTAAAAAGAGGCATTTTAATATTTACATATTTTGTAGCGCAGCACCTGGTAGGCTAGTGGTGGGTGTGTACGAACCACTGCAGTGGGCCGGTGCCGGCGGGACTGTGACCCAGCGTACGGCGCCCATCAGCCGGCGGGCTGGTGGCGGCGACGGGGGCCGGCCGACCCGCCATACAGTTCGAGCAGTCCGTTACCGAGCCAGGACGGCGCGGACACAGCCGTCAGCAGTCACTAGTCAGCCCGGTGACCCGTGCAGACGGACAAACACAGTGCCTCAGTCTAGGACCACACTGAACGACAAAACCGTCTGTGACAGCAGTGCTGACATATGGGTATCTTATTTTTGTCGTTACGGCATTGTAAAAATCATCAAGTTCGGCGATAACAGCAAGCTTTGAATAGACGAAATGACTTTAAAGGCATAAATTTGATGCCTGTCTTGTTCCTTCTTTTGAAGCAATGCATTTCCTTTTAAAGTCGCAGAACTCTACGCGAATGAGGGGCGAGACAGAAGAATGCCCGCATGAGCTCGGCCCTTGTCGTTGTGAGAGGTCGTCGCCGGGCGAGTGCTGATAGCTGTCGGTGAGAGGCCCTCCGGGGAGGGGTACCTAATTCTATCGTCGCTAACCTCGTCACCATCGCCGTCAGATATCCAGGCGGACGACGCCGAGCTGGAGCGGGCCGCCACCAAAATCCAGTCGACGTTCCGCGGCCACCGCGCCCGCCGGCGGCTGCAGCCGGCCACCCACGGGGACTGCAGTGATCCCGGTACGTGCACTGCATGCCATCGATTTCACTCGGCCGACCGGCTGTTGGTGCAGGGTACTTTACCGGCCGGCCAGCCGGACAGTCGGTCAGTCGGTCAGTCGGTTAGTCAATCGTCAGCCGTACCTACATACATATACGCGCTAAAGTAACCCTCGGCGGCCGAGGGAGGTGATTCCCCTTCCTGACGAATATTTGCGCTAACTCTCGTACACTAAGAGAAAAAGGGTCGAACCTTAGTGTCTCAATCAATACGATCACTGGCGGTCCCAGGGGGGGGGGGCCACGGGGGCCATGGCCCCCCTTTGGTGCTGAAAGGTGGGGCCATACTATCTTTTGGCCCCACCTTTCAGATCGAACAAAAGTCCTAGAAAAGCTTTTCGTATGTTTCATTTTCTTTCTTGCGCCATCAAAGGACGTAAATTTCACTCATGAGTGGGCTCAGTTTCGCATTCTGTCAATTTGGCGGTCAGCGTCGCTGGAACCGGTTCACGAGTATGGCCGAATCTTATATGGAATATCAGCGTGGGTTTACTTGAGGCTCTCGTAGGCCCAGCAATGGCTGGCATGAGACCCTCTTCGGCAGTGGTGGGTGGGCCCTGCTAAAGGAGATTGGCTCTAAGACACTAAAGTAAGACCTCATGGGTTGGTGCTGTGCACCTCAGAAGCCCGGTGGTGACGCCGTATGCCGGCTTGGTTTCTTAAGGATTAGCGTGGGAACTCCGGGGCCTGCATAGAGTTTGCATGAGCTAGTATGTAATATCAGAGGCATGTGTGTAATGTGTACACAGTGGCGGTCACGGGGGGGGGGGCATCAGGGCCATGCCCCCCCAAAGGTCAATAAAGGGGGCCATCTTATCATTTGCCCCCCCCCCCCTCAAACAACCAATGGGCCCCCATATAGGTGTATGGGGCCCTGGCAATTATTCGATCGTCACGAGGCTAAAAAAACCCACGTCCACGGTCCAGCTATTAATATAGCTCCCACACCGCTGTTTGAGCGTCCTACACTGGCCTCTCAGGGAAGTTCAGTGGCGGTCAAGCGCCCACGTTGACCGCTAAGAGCCTACATCAACCTCTGAGACCCCACATCTGGCCTATGAGGGCCCCTAACCGGCCTCAGGGGTCCCAACCGGCGTCTGAGGGTCTCACACCGGTCTCTGGTGGCCTTATTTCTGTCTGTGGTGTCCCAAGACGAACCTTTAGGTGCCAATGAGGGCCCCGCACTGGCTGCTGAAGACCCGATGCCGGCCTCTAAGGGCCTGCATTGGCCTCTGAGGAGGGCCCATCTTGGCCTTTGAGGGCCCTCTGCTGGCCTCTGGGGTCCAACGACGGCTCATGCCGGTCTTTTAGGGCCCCACGCTGACCTCTGAGGGCCCATGTTGGCCTGTAATGACCCATATTAGCCTCTGAGAGCCCAACTCGGTCACTGATTGTCTCAAACTACTGGCCTTTGTAGTTTGCAGGCCCTGTACTGGTCTCTGAGGGCCCTAAACTGGCCTCTACGTGAAAACATACATGGGTGGGTTTCTGAAGATCAGAGGGCTCACGCAGTCTCCGGCACAGCCTTACGTTGGTCCTGATCGAGATTACTTTACGTCCTGATGGTCCTGCGCAGATTCCCTCATATTTCGACGTCAAGACCCCATGAGCCGGTGTGGGTCCTGGGGCTGGCAGAGACTGATGAAGTCCTTAGGGCTCAGGGCCAGTCTTTTTAGCAGTAAGACTAGGCAGGTTGAGTGAGCCCCAATAGAGCCGCTGCGAAGCCCCGCAGGAGTCGCGCGCGGCCCTCTGAGATGCCAATTTTGAAAGCTCGGAACCTGTGGGGGTCTCCAGAGGTCGGTGTACCTACTCTCTCCCGCCGCCACACAACTAGGTATGTTTAATGTTACCTATATGGGTAAATGTCATAGTCTGAAAATGCTCTCTGGGTTTCACATGCTTGTTCAAAGCAAGATGTATCTGTACTTTTCCGAATTGTTTTATAGTGGTAAGGTCATGAATCCGCGTGCCTGACCTTCCAGTATACCTATGCTACACCGATCCGTCGTCATGGTGCAGTGGGCCGACCGGTGGAAGCACCGTGGGACGGGAAATGGAACTGGTGATTTTGCCTTAAATTGAGCTTAACCCTATTCCTGGCGGGCTCCGCCGGGACAAGAAACTGGCGGGGGGGGGGGGCCGATTCGGCCCCCCCTGAGATCTCGAGAACGAAGCAAGATAGCGACAAGCGGTAAACGGCATCGGATACGCACGGCCAAGATCTACAATTTTTACTAAGGTCATTTTCAGGTCAGGTCAAAGATGACGTCACAGGGGTCGAAAAAGTCAAAATGGCGGCACTAGATATGGAGAGAGTTTTTTCTCGAATAACTTTCGAATTAGTCAAGATAGGAACAAACTAAGGGCATCATCGTGATCCTCTCGTCAATCCGCATCGAATGATATATATGTTGACCTCGAAAGGTCAAGGTCAAAGGTTGACCTCAGGTCACGTGACCTCGAGGTCATCATGTATATCATTCGATGCGTCTTGACGAGCTGAACACAATGAGACCATCCACGCGTCTGTATCTTGTTCCTGTACGGAGTTATTGGCCAAAAACCTTTGGTGACCTTTGATGACGTCACATGACCTCACAGCTGCCCAACAGCAAAACAGACCTCAAGGTAGTGAAGGTTGATCGTATATGAAGTCATGTATGGTATATGGGGCCATTCCGACCCGTTTTAGTGGTAAAAACAGGGAGTTGATTTTTCCCCCATTGACTTATAATGGGGAGGTCGCGAAATTGACCTGACCTTAGGTCACCGATATCAAAATTCCGAGATATACAAATTGCACATACTGGTA